ACTCGATGTTCTATAAAGTTCTTTAATTTGCTAGAAAATCTGAGTTTCTATAGATATATTTTGTGTATTGATCTAAAACCTTAACTGAGTCAAATATATACAAAGTAAAATATGTACAAATTTTATCTTCAGGGTTTATTTACATTATTTATTTCTAAAGATTGTAATAAATCTTTTATTAGATTCCTTTTATACTGTTTGAAATTTGTGATGTGTGTATAGGCACTACTTTTCAATAATTAAAAAAAAATCGGTAACGTAATAGAAAATTTGGCCAATACCTCAAATAAAACCAAACCCTATTCCCACCATACACCCCCTCCTACAAATATATCTCCTCCCACATACACACACTCATACAACTAAAAATAATTTTTAAGATTTCCCTCAAGACTTTTTACGTAGTTATAAATTATAGTATACATAACAATCGATTTAGCATACCACTCTCTTCCCATATATCAGAAGTGCTAACATAATTACACTGGAGACTTTGTAATTATCACCTTTAAGTGCGACATAATTAGTCTTCGGTGAATGCCTAACCCTTTGTCTGATATTTCAAGTATAACTAATGTTTAGACCCTGTATCCAGAATTTGGACAAAATGTTTGGAAGGGAAGCAATCCATGAGCTTGGTGCCCTTTACAACCTTCTTGGTGTAGTCTACATGGAATTAAAGTTTTCTTATATGTTAGATCCTACAGTAGAATAATCCCCAACAATTCTGAATCTTCCTGGAGACAAGTAAACCTAGGGCTTCCCTTAAAGTATACAGATGTCAGAGATATACTGGCTGATATCAGAGATCTTCAGTTTCAAAAAACAGGTCAAAAATCAAGTTCTAGACAACGGACATGAGAATTATACAATTTTTTTGTACAATAAAGCATTTATTATATATACTTTAATTTACATAATATTTAAGTAGTTATTTCCAGATGGTGGGATTATAGTGATTCTTACTTTTCTTATTTTGCTTACTGGTATTATTTACTTTCATTTTTTTAAGCAATGAACATCTATAAAAATAATTTAGCTTCTACCCAATAAGATGTCAATTGTGTACTTCTATATAGTCGTGTGTGTGCGTGTGTGTGTGTGTGTGTGTGTGTGTGTGTGTCCCCAAAAAATTCTAGGAGGAAATGCACTAAAATGCTAATGGTATTTTCCTCAGGATAGTGGGATTATTGGTCATTTTTTGCTTTATATTTTACATCACTCTGTATTTTCTAGTTTTTTAAAAATAGTAAGCATGTGTTACTTTTATAATATGAAAAAGGCATTTTTTTAAGACACTAAAAATTGCCTGTGATCCAAGTACATAAAGGAATGTCGTCTGCCTTTTAGCAATTCGTTCAACTTATAGACCCAGAAGTACACAAACACAATACAGAAGTTCTCACATGCACCTGCTCTCTCATACACATTCATTCCCTCTCACATACACTAGCTCCCATCTCACCTGCTAACACACAAAAAAAAACACTCTCACACACACATCAAATTTAAGGCTAGGGTAGAAACTAGAAAGGACACTGCAGCAACTAAAAGGTATAGCCAAATGTATAGCCAAATGTTCTTAGGGACTTCCAACTCCCACCAGCAGAGGTACAGGAATGAAAATCAGAGACCTTCTGAGTGTCAACACTTCCTTCAGCAGCCTACTTATGCAGGTACTTACTGCACTGAAGAGTAGAGACAATGCTGACAAGGTTACTGAAGGGCATTCAGTGCCTCAATGTGTAGGGTTCTCTGGAAAGGATCAGTGACTACAAAATGTAAATGCTTAAGTGCGTGTAATAATAAAATGTAAAGATAATCCTTACAATTAATTCCTTTGAAAAATAAAACCAAAAGAAACCAGTCCTTTCTCACAATACTCTTAGAATTTATTTTACAATTTCCGCTTTATGATGAGTTAGTGGTGACTACAAAAACATCAGTCCTCTCAATATGAAGTGGTCATGTTGATGAGGAAATCTTCAGAAATGGTCAAGGCTGTTAAAAATAACCTATTCCAAGTTCACAACTAGGTACATGGTGCATCTGACTATCAATTCCTGTTTCAACCAGAAAACTCCACTATAATCTTTTCTCCTTTTCTCTGCTGATTTCTGCTAACAGTGTGTTTTATTACACCACACCTGATCTATCACCAGATGATGTAATGAGATCCAAACACACCATGACATTGCTGAAGAAAGGGGGACACAAAGGCCATCTGTATTATAAATAGGAGCTGCTTCTATTAAAAATTAAGATATAGCACTTAAATAATTTAAAATGCTTCCTTCAAAAACAGATTACATAAAAGATACCGAACATGCTACCTTTGAAATTTCATAATAATCAAAATAATCTAGTTGCTATCATCAAAGACAGTAATGTGACCACCCTAAGAGTCTCATTCACTCAATATTTTGAAATCTCAAGGTGGAAAGTACAAAAACTTATGGTCTTTATTGCTGCTGTCCAGCTTATCTGAACTCTTTCTAGAGTTTTTTTTTTAAATCATGAATGTTTTAAAAACAATCCTTATCTTTTAGAGATATATACTGAAATATTTATGGATGCAATGATATGTCAGGTAAATGCTTCAAAAATAATCTGGGGGTGGAAAGTTTACAGGTAAATCAAAACTGCTGAAACTGAATGATGGCTTGGCGGGGAGGTCACTAGACTATTCTCTTTACTTTTGTATAGGTTCAAAACTTTTTATTTAAAAGTTTAAAAATATTCATCATGAGGTATAATTCTTCACTTTTCTCTAAACCACTTCACTATCCGAGAATATTTCTTCTCTTTGCTCCTCTATAATGTATTCTGACAATGTACTTGGAAAAAGCAAGTCTGAGTCATAAAAAAGGATAGCAAAGCTTACACAAACATAAAAGTCGACCTTTCATTACCCTGTAAATTATCTGCTCCAAAACAAGAGCTCTCCTCTACCATCTCAGGAAGCTCACTCAAGTCCGGGTACTTAGAACAAGTCAAACACTGCTTCTTCCTCAGCAGAGCAGTCTAGGAGAGCAAAGGGAAGGGGTAATGCCACAGTACTCCCTACAATCCCCCATCCCCACCAAACCCTGAGTCATTCCACCAGGAGCTGTCAGAGCAGACTTTTGACTCATTTCTACTTTGTGATTACAAGAAAGCTCAGCCCCAGATAGCAACCCAAAGTTTTTCCCACTGTGATCAATAGGGACAGTCGCAACAAAAGGTGTTTCTCCAATGAAAAGGATTCTATGGATGTCACTAAGATAAAACCATGGGAATATTTTGAGCTACCAAATCTAAGAGGTTGAGAGCCATCTAAAGGTTATGAGACAAAAGACCGAGTTCTAGTCCCTGTTGTAGCGCTGACAATTTGTGGGGCCTTGGAAAAGTTATTTAACCTTCTCACCTGTAAAGTGGAATGAAGCCTGCTTGCCTGCTACCAACTCAGAGAAAGGTGGTGATGATCCAATGAAAACATAAATGAGCCTCATATAAACCATAAAGTACTCTATCAGTCAGATTATAGTAAAAAAAAAAAAAAGAACAAATGTGGCACTTTCTTAACATCTTTGATGTAATGAGAAAAGATATGTTTGAAGAGAAGACATTACATTAGTAAAAAACAACCAAGGATGCCCAAGGTGCTCTGTGGCCCAGGGGTAGGAAGGAAAAGCATCAAAAGAACCTAGACCAACAATTATGCTAACCATACAGGAAATTATATCTTATATCTTCTGCCCATTAGACTAAAAGATGTGAGACCCATCCTGAGCAATGTCTTCCAACACAGATCTAGACACAAGGTATTAGGCTGATGCTCAGAGGGGCATGCACATCTTACTGGACTGAAAACTTAAAAAAGAGGCCTGACTCAGGAGGACCCAATTCTTTACAGATAGAAGCTCAAGGGATACTGTGAATGCT